AGAAGTCCTTTCTCCCACAGTGTCTTTCAAATACAATAAGCAGAAATTGTTAATCTGGGGACAAGATGTCCACAGGAACTTTGAAAAGCCCTGACATAGTCCTGGGAATCTAAAAGGGTGTGCACGTAACCAGGAACACCTGAGATGGCCTCAATCTTTCACCTCTGGCTGAACCCAAGGCTGTGTCAAGCATGAAATGAGAGCTAAGGCAGAGCTGTAATTACCTGAATATTGATGTCATATCCCAACACATACATAGAGCCCTCATCAAAGGGTAGGAGACTTACTGGTGCAAGACATTTAAAGAAATCTGTAATTGTTAGCTGACCACCAAGTTAGCTATATGAGATATATATAGTGACTTCAGTGGTTATACACACCAGAATACAGATTCTCAGAATACAGAAAATCACTAAACAACAAAAACAAACAAACAAACAAAATACAGCAATAACAACAAACTCTTGGGGCAGAGGACCTAATTTCTAGATATGCCACACTATACTATTAAAACATCAGTTAAAAAAAAGTTACACGATACAAAAGAAACAGGAATGTATGATCTACACAGAGGGAAAAAAAGCAGCCAAAAGAAACTGTCCCTGGGGTGGGAAGGCCACATACTGAACTTACTGGACAAAGACTTCAAATCAGCTATTATAAATGTGTTCAAAGAACTAAAGAAAAAATATCTAAACAATTAAAGGAAAGTATGAAAACAATGCCTCACTAAATAGACAATAACAATAAAGAGCCAAAAACCATAAAAACAAAAAACTAAACAGAAATGCTAGATTTGAAAGTAGTATAACTGAAATGAAAAATTACTAAAGGAGCTCAACAGTAGATCTGATCTGGCAGAAAGATCCGTGAACTTGAAGACAGATGCACTGAGATGATCAATTTCTGAGAGAAAAAAAAGAGACAAGAAGAAGGAAAATTGAAGAGAGCCCCAGAAACCTGTGGAATACTATCAAGCATGTCAACATACACAGAACAGGAGTCCCAAAAGCGGAGAAGAGAAAGACACAGAACAAATGCTAGGAAAATAATGTCTACTCAAATGCAATGAAAATCATTAATCTACACACCTCAAGAAAGTCAAAGAACTCCATACAGGATAAATTCAAAGTGGTCCACATGTAGACACATCAATGTTAAACTATTAAAAGCCAAATAAGCAAGAATTGTAAATGCAGCAAGTGAAAAATGAGTCATATGTACAAGGGATCTTCATAAAAATAATGGCTGACTTATCAGAAACCAGAGAGGACAGAAGGTGGTGGTATGACATATTTGAAGTGCTGAAAAATAAAGACTGTTAACCAAGATTTGTATATCCAGCAACTATCCTTCAAAAATGAAGGAAAACTCAGTGGATTAG